AAGAGTTGCTCGTTCGATCGGAACCATGGCTGCCAGCTAATGGCAGAAGCCGCCTTATATACCCCGAGGGCAGAAGCTTCGAGAACATTCCAGCATATACAAATGCAAAGCCCTGTCCATCATTCCTTTGAAAATTTTTACAAATAGTTTTAGAAGGTGTTGCAAGACTTTCTTTCCAACCCAATATATATTGAGGAAATCGTTCCCGACATATCAATGAAGCTCTTCAAATTTTCTGATATTTTTCGGTACTTTTTGTGCAAGTATTAATGGGTGTGCGTGCGTGTGGGCTTAAGCATGAGTAAACTACGATAAGTAATTTGAATTGCAATTTCTTTCATTCCAGTTTGTCCTGAATTTGTCTGAAAAGCGAAGTGATCAAGCAAGACGCGTCTTTTCGTGCCAGGTGCATTTGGCTTTGGTCGGTTTCTCTTCAGGTCCCTCGCCAATCGTGTGTTCCAATCGACTTCAGGAGAGAACAAAAGATGAATGCCGATCTTCGGAATGGGATTCAAAGAGGTAAATCTTTTCAAATTTCATGTGTTTCGGGATGAGGGCTATAGGAATACATATTATGATTCTTAACTAATAAATTGCAAAAATATTCGAATGTAGACGAAAAAAATTACTTTCTTGAAACGATTAATTCTGCTGGCGTTGAACAGCTTCACTGCCTCGTTGCCGCAGCTGCATTAGTTAATGCGCCGACTTTAAGCCTCTGGAGAGTGTTAATCATTCATTCATTTAGAAAAGGTTTTACGTTTGCGCTAGGAAGGTCATCGACATAATTTAGGTCAGAGGAATGGGCGTGATCCCTTAATCACATACGAAGTAATCAAGTGATCCTAAAACAATGAGTTTTCCCATAGGGAAATGTTTCTTAATGGCATGAAGTAGTTGATTGAGTGTGGGCTTTTTCTTTTCCATATGAAAAACGAAAATGATGTGTCTGGTAAGAAGCAAAATTATATTAAGCATGTGGCTATTCCTTCCACTCAGACCAAAGAGCATATCTTCACTGGTTACATTCAGTTGTTGTTCATTCTTGAATAAGAAAATCTTTAAGGGCAATCCAAATTTCGTTAGACATCGGACAATCAAAGATCATGTGAGTCAGAGTATGTTTGTCTTCACAGAAAGAACGTAGCATATCGAAATGGGAAAGCTTTGAACGTTATTAAAATGTGGACTCCATTAAAAAGTTTCCTTGAGAGGCAAGAATGGGTATCCCGTGAGTTTTCCCCGGCAATGCGAACTTCCGCATTCTGTGCCATTTGAGATCTATCATCACTCTATTCCCATTTTCCCCAACAATAGCTGTTTAAATGGATATGCGTTCATTTTCACGTGGCTCTTATGTGTGGACGGCATGGTTCAAGTTTGTGGACACCAGTTTTTGTTAATAATTATGAACGTGCGGAGGCGAAATAGAAAAAAAAATAGCATGATATCTGTAAAGCAGATTTATTCGTCCTTAATGATGTCCTGTTAAGAAATGTCATTGGGAAAATTAAGAAATTAAGATATGCTAGGTTTAAAACTAAGCGAACATGTCAAAGTTCACTCATGCTAATGGGTATGCATTTGCAGAATATGGTGCATTTGAGGAAATACATTTTCAGCGTGAATTTGGTAAAATAGCAAAAACGCAAAAGAAACATGTTTCATTATGTGTCTAAAAAGATTAGTCATTATGCACCACCTGATGAAATTTGTCTAGACGAATGTACTGGTACGAGTTTTATGGTAGGCTTACTGTTAATTTTAGTCTCCACTGTAGCGAAATTATTTAAAATTAAATAATGAAGTTGCCAAAAATAGAGAATTGTCTAATATATGAGATCCTAAAACTCTTTTCCAGGCCGTTTCATTAATGTATAACTAGTCCACAACCAGTTAACCAAAAAATTTACATCGATTTCCCCTTCCCTTGGAATGACCTTCCATAATTCATTATTTTTTTTAGTATGGAGCAAGTTTGATCAGCTTTCCTTCGTCAAAACACTGGATGATGGGCACTTCATAATATGAATAATTTGGCAGGCCTTTACATTCACCTGCCAACGACGGGTAACAATGTATTTTCCTACAACTTTACTCTCCAGTTAGTCTCCTTTACTCTCCACAATTCTTACAACTTGACGATGGCTCTGAATCACTCAAATATGTATATGTATCAGTTGATTTATTCAATTTTACTAATACATTGGTTTGGTATGGCCAACAATTACTTAAGGCTCACTTCCTTAGATATGTTGTACGTGTGAGTGTGTACATGATAATGAAACATGAAAGATTAGCATTTGATCACACTAACTCTTAATAGCGCCTGTGGAGAGGCAGCATGGTTCCAGCGGATCAGACGTCGTTTGCTTTCGTCGATATCCTCGCATCTTAAGCGCTTGGCTTCGGAAAATTGAGTGCTTTAATAGCGTTTGGAAGGGGATGACGTTGTAGGGGTCAGTGAAAATCTGGAAGGCATAAGTAGCGTTTGATCCCCCAATAACAATCACAGTATATGTTTCGGGCAGGCTGTACGTATAATGTAGTATGGAAACCATTTTTTAACATCATTCCTCTTCTTTCAACCCCGTCCACCTTTTTCTCTTGGGTGGCGTATTCCGCGGACTGTCCTCAAGTCAGGCGTAATCCTACCCTGTACCTTTTTTTGTTCGAAAGGATTTTAACCCTCGACTTACAGGGTCAAATACACGTAGGCCAATAACAGTCGAAATTGGGGCTTCTGAGGCATGCGTGGACTAATCAAAAATTTCCAGTACTTTCTTGTTAAAAAAATAAACCGCTTTTGGTAGGGGGGCTAGGACTAGTGTGAGTGGGAGTGAGGGGGGTAACCGCACGCATGCTGAAACCTCCTTTGCGCTAGGAGTAACCATTCGCGAATCACGAGTGTTGAAATCCGGTCGTCTCTGTGCTCTTCGTCGAATTTTCGATCGTGCATCATGATCATGATGCATTATGAGTTTGACCCACACGGCCAGACAGCTGGCCAGGCTTACTGCAAATATGTTTTGACCCGTCTGCGAGAAAAAATTAGGAGAAAACAGCCCCAAATTTTCCAAAATGAAGCCTGGTTTTTGCTTTACGACAATGCTCCATCCAACACTGCTCTCACAATTCGAGAGTTTTTGGCTAAAAAAAAATTCCGGTGTTTTTCCATTTTCGTAGTTTCATGTATGTATCTTATTGGCAACAGTTACATGAATCGTCTAAGTTGGGAAACAAGGGAGAGGCACTCACGGAATTTATTTTGTAGTAATTTCAAACATTAGGAAATTCACATTTAGCTTCTCATATTCATATTGATAAGTTTTACAATGCTAACATATTTTCTTCTTACTAAATTCACGAGGGCTTAAAATCTGTGAGCAAATTTCGGAATTCTTTTGCATATTCGAAACTTTACAACATGTTTTTTAAAAAGGGCAAAATTAAAAAAAAATGCATTTCATCAATATGATTTTGAATTATCTCAGCTTCAATTGGAGTGCAATTAGTACCAAAGAAAGATCAAAGGTCGCTCTTCTTATGGAGGGTGACTTCGGGGGTCAAACATCTCTGTAACTGCTCAATATGGTGATATTTTCCTTAACTCTTCGATGACGCCTTGCAAGATTTAAAAAAAAAGGAAATCGGAGTCTGAAACGCCAAAAATAAGGAAATTTTCATATAGTCGGCAGAAATGCATGAGTTTGAAAATAAAGTTAGCCCATTACAAATTATTATGCGAATTCGTATCCTTTTCAAACAGAAGCCAATATCACTCCATTCTGACGCCTGAATCTTCGGAAATTTACGTGCATGCATTGATCAGTGATCCCGATTAAATTACCGTGTTGGAATATCCATAAGCATGCCAATATTCATGTTGTTTTGCTTAATGAAAGCATCTAATATATATAGACGATCGTGACTGACTGCCTGACTGACTGACACTAATTCTAACCATGTTCTAGACATGATGAGAGGCTGAAACTTGGTACACACATTGCTGTTAGATTGCTGACTCCAGAAAAATTCCAACTTTGGGGGTAAGTGCCCTGGGGCTCATTCCAGGGGGTCTCATTTGCAAGGCTAGGTCTAACCCTCAGACGGACGCTTAGGCCTAAGCCATTCTCAGGCTCACCTTGCCTTCAACAAAAGGGAAGGAACGTGAGTAGCTGATGGGTTGTCGATTCCAGAGAAAGTCTAACTTCGAATGCCCAACTTTGGGGGTCCATGCCCTGGGGGACTGAGTTCGCAGGCCTAGGCNAAAAGAATAAATGAATTAATCACTATCCAAGGTAATAGAGCGCCGAAGGCGCGACCATAGCGAGTTTGTTTGCACGAAGGGCAAACAAACTCGCTAGTATAATATAGTATATAGCTATATAATAGCTAGTATATAATAGAAACAACGATCTTTCTGTCAAATCTGAGATATGCCCCGACCTGGTTATTTGACCGGGATTTCTATCGCTGTAACTTTAGCCATATCTCTCAATTTGGAATTTGGAGTGTTCAAAAGTAAAAAAATGGAAAGTAACAACATAAGTAATACATCAGTAATACAGTAATACACAAGTAATATATAGAACAGCTCAAAGAGAGGTATCATTTGACACTAGTTCAAAGTTTGGATCTCATTTGAAACAGGAAGTACAGACCGCCAAAGTTGTAGAAAATAGGAAATAGTGGACATTTCAAATTAAATTTAAAGTTATTTGAAACAAAGGAAGTTGAAATTTGGTTTTTAACATCAGCATTGCTTTGGTCTGCAACGCTCCAAAGGCTCCAACGCAATGGTACGCAAGATAACGACTTTTACTCGACGCGCTTTAAAGAGTTATAAACGTTACAACCTTTAACACATTAAGTTAAACATGACGTGTACCATCTTTTGCAAAAATCATTACGCTAAGTACATTGTCTCGGCTTCAAGTAAAGCTCAAAAACGTTTTTCTACGACCAAGGACTAGGATAGCGCTTCATATGTCACTTTTCCATCTCGGGTGCAAAGTTAGAGGCCGCACATCTCGAAAACCGTTTGAGCCAGGGAGCAAACATTTCGATATTTACAAAAAAAAAAGTCTCGGATGCCATCATGCGCACGTTTTTTTCAAGCAAATCAGAGATCGTAACAAACCACTTGAGTTGAAATGTCTCAGGATCGAAAGAAGAAAAATTAGGCGGGATAATTCTGATGCGTACATTCATGTCGTTTCATGGGATTTCTCAGTAATTATCATGAAAAATTTTCCGAGTGCTCCTATTTTATTCATCTATTTTTGAGAAAGGTTTTGTTAACTTACTGAATAGCTTCGAGGGAAATTATTAGAAATAATGCATTTTGACAAGTGAAATAGTCCCCAGAGAGGTTCTGGAAGTATGGATATGCGGAAGGGGTGTACGCACTTTAAACTCACAGATTTATATATGCATTCCAGAAAAAGAAGCGAAGATCGAATCTGTATCCGGCGAGAACACTTTTAGAGGAGGAACAGAAGGGACGAAGACCACGTTGAAAGAGGAACTGTGGTCGGCTGTCATTCACTTCTGGGAATCTACAACAATTCCCGGTCTTACTCATGCTCGCGATAGGAATCGCTACAGCTCTTGGGTGAGTCACTTGCTGGTGACGTGACGTCCAAAGTTTGTCATGGAGTGGTTCATGAAAAAATCGTTCCAGTTTTGGATCATACTTTTCCTGACTGGGATCTGCGCGATGTCCGCGAGCGTGTATTATGCGGTGACGGAGTATTCCGCCCACCCCGTCACCACCTTGGTATCCCTGAGAGAAGCACGAACAGCGAAATTCCCAGCCGTCTCCGTGTGCAACACGAACCCCGTGAAATGCGGGAAGCTGATGCTGTTCCGGGACGTCCTCGAGACCCTTTGGAGCAGCAGCGGATGCGAGGTGAGGATCCCCGTTGCCCCCATCAAGTGGATGGGTCGTCCGGACTTCAACTACAGGAAATTCGAAGCCGCCGTCATCAGGTATCACGACGAACATGCATTTGCTACTTGAGCGAAGCCGCGGATTCATCGGACGGACTGCGTAAAAGTTGTTATTCCTACGGTGGTATCAGGTACCTGCGAGAGACAACGGATGACCTAGATAAAATTATATTAGCCGTAGCAGACAAGAAGGTGGAAGCATTCAAAGGATCTCCATTGCTCAATAACACGTACAAACAACCGGTCCTACTGATGGCAGCGATGAATGCACTGATTTCCGCCAGTCCGAAAGACTTCAAATTGAGAAGAGGGAATGTTCTTTTCCCTTTACTCATTGCTCATCTTTATCCTTCGGACCTGAAAGCCAACTTTTCCTGGGCAACGGCTTCACCTTCGGGTAAGAAACTCGACAGCACTATGAACTTAGCTGCTTTCTGTCCATGACGTTGCACGTGGAACGAATAAGGCTTAAGAGAGGGCGTCCGTAGTGGGGCTTCTGTAGTCAGCATGGGTTAAGGCTTAGGGGCTTACCTCGCCTGTGGAAGGGGTCGGTCACTGAAGTGAGTAATCCAACAGAGAACCGGGAGTTCTCCAATGCACTAATGGCGAGAACGCAGGCCCCAGGAAAGATTTGCGAAACTCAAGTCCAACATTAACTACTCCAATGGCATGAAATGTCAGAATTCAAATTTGGGGTTGCAAAAAAAGGAACAAACTTCGAACATGATGAATACGGTCACTGGAACGATCCTTGACAAATCTATTGAAAAACATGGATGTTACATACAGGGTGGCTCGAAAAAACCAAGCTATTTACTTCAACATGCTGCAAATCAGGCTGCGATGCCTTGATTTGAGTAATATTTTAGGCAAACATGAAACAACTCTTTTCCTGCAGGTATAAAATAATATGTTATGCCATCGCGAGTTCTTTTCTTCATCAGGATGAAAATGGTCGTCTCCATCCAGAAAGTTGCAGCAACGGTCCCCAGCTACCGTTCGAGTTAGAGCAGCGACAGTTGTTAATAAGAGCTTATTTCATTGAATATTTTCTGTATCGATGTTTGAAGATTTTTTTTTCTTTCTCTTCCCACTTTTTTTCTTACTAAAACAATGCAATGCCTGGCTACTCGCATGAAGACCTGGTGGTGATAAAGACCTTGCTGACAAATGAATGAATTTTCTAGGGGAAACCAAAAAAAATTCCTAACTTCCACGTACACTTCACGAAATTCTGCTTCAAATTACCTTCCCACTGCTGATGCCATGAATTTATAGATCTATGATCTATTATAGATCCATTTAAAGCGGGAATAGAAAATGCATTATACCAAGAGCCTTCCCGTACAAAACGTCCACCTTCCATGAGGATTTGGAACCAGGTGGATGTCTCCACTTTCCACTTTTAGGTGCGATGTCCACCAATTTGAGAATCCCACTGGAGGAAAATCCACCTGGCTTAAAATATTGATAAATGGACGTGAATGGTTATGTGGATTTTCACCGGCTGTAACGTCCACCTGGTTGGAAATCCATCCTCTGTCCACCTGGTTTTTCAGCCAGGTGGATGCAATGGACGGTAAAAATGGTGTTCATGAAACTCATAAATAATACTGGTAATCGTCCATCGTTCATCATTCAATATTCAATAGCCATTCATTTACACATATAACTCTTCTATTCCAAGCGATATGAATGAATGATTTCTTTAATCGTCGTTCCATGAGCAGAAGTCTACGCCCCCACCCACGAATTCGACCGAATTCGGTGACGGAGAACCTGCTTACGAGGAATTATTTGTGCCTGACAATTCCAAAGAAGAATTCAAGGACGTGAGCGTTTTTCAACTTAGAAACTAAGGGTGGATTTTTGAACAGAGAACTATCCGATAATGCAGCTTTATTTACCGGATTTATAATGCATTTTCTCTGAAATAAAACTGCATTATCGGATAGTGCTCTGTTCAAAAATCCACCCTATGAATATACGAAAAAAAATCAGTCATAAAGGGATGACCTTGACTCCTAGGCGATGGTGTTCAGGACGGCCTTACGGGACCTCTCGCCCGAAATGCTTCTCCGGATCACCCATTCATGGAATGAACTCATATGGGACTGCACGTTTGAGGGGAAAATCTGCATGGATGGAAGGTGAGTTGGAGATTCAGGATGGCATTCCGTGTTCCTATACGAAACTCTTTATGGATCGTGGATAATTTATTTTCCTTGCAGATGAAATGCACACAAAACGTCGTTATCTTTATTGCAGCTGCTGTTCATGTTCGCCATGGGTTTCAAGTTCTCATCCTAATTGAGACAATAAATATAAATGGGTGAAAACTGACAAACTTAAGTTAATTTTGTCTCTGTTTCAAACCAGTTATATGTTAAAATGTAGGTATTTTAATCGGTGCTATCTAGTATTGCAATGTTGCCAGGGCTCATAGTGATTCCTGTTTTCCTCCCGAGATACTTTGATGGAAATTTTCGAGTTTTTTAAGAATGAATTTCTATCACATTTAACTTCGTCTCAACTTTCATTCGAACCGAAAAACTCATTTCTAGCTCAATTATGACAAAATATGGCCAAAATGACCCACTTTCCCCCTCGAGTCTATCTCCGAATTTTAAATATCCTAGAACCGCTTGTAGTGGTAGTTAGTCATACGAGCTTTTTCATGAATCAGTTTCAGCGTTATTAATTATTTTTCTTAAGCAAGTCTCTGTCGGACCTGTTCGACCACTTCAGCTCGTATATCTCAGTAACGGTACGTTACATTTAATGGTGAAGTCCAAATTAAAGGACATTCCACATATTCACGTTTGCTCATACGGCATCTCAAACGAAACAAAACATTCTCATTTGCAGGAATTTTCCCCCGATCGTGAACTCCCTCTACGGAACCTGCTTCATGTTCAACAGCGAGTTAAACTCCAATGACCCCGCTGCTGGGAAACGAATCACCCGTGTTGCGGGGAATACTTATGGTGAGTACAGATCTAGTTATGAAAAAGCTCATACCATCTGAATGACCTGTCAGCTTCTTTTCTTCGATATTTTTGAGGCAATCGGTAATTCGAGGCAACTAATCTCCATAAATTAACTTGCTCTCNTGAATCGACGAAAGACAGGTACTGCAACGTGCACCTTGCTTATTCCGAATTCTCTCCCGCAGGCATCACCCCGAAGACATCAGTCGTACCCAATTCCGAATCCCCGAATGGAGCGGACACCTTCCCCCCGGTCACTGAAGTGAGTAATCCAACAGAGTACCGGGAGTTCTCCAATGCACTAACGGCGAGAACGCAGGCCCCAGGAAAGATTTGCGAAACTCAAGTCCAACATTAACTACTTCAATGGCATGAAATGTCAGAATTCAAATTTGGGGTTGCAAAAAAAGGAACAAACTTCGAACATTATGAATACGGTCACTGGAACGATCCTTGACAAATCTATTGAAAAACATGGATGCTACATACAGGGTGGCTCCAAAAAAGCAAGCTATTTACTTCAACTGCTGCGAATCAGGCTGCGATGCCTTGATTTGAGTAATATTTTAGGCAAACATGAAACAACTCTTTTCCTGCAGGTATAAAATAATATGTTATGCCATCACGAGTTTTTTTCTTCATCAGGACAAAAATGATCGTCTCCATCCAGAAAGTTGCAGCAACGGTCACCCAGCTACCGTTTGAGTTAGAGCAGCGACGGTTGTGGTTAATAAGAGCTTATTTTATTGAATATTTTCTGTATCGATGTTTGAAGATTTGATTCTTTCTCTTCCCACTTTTTTTCTTACTAAAACAATGCAATGCCTGGCTACTCGCATGAAGACCTGGTGGTAATGAAGACCTTGCTGACAAATGATGAATGAATTTTCTAGGGGAAACCAAAAAAAATTCCTAACTTCCACGTACACTTCACGAAATTCTGCTTCAAATCACCTTCCCACTGATGATGCTATGAATTTATAGATCTATGATCTATAATAGATCCATTTAAGGCGCGAATAGAAAATGCATTATACCAAGAGCCTTCCCGTGCAAAACGTCCACCTTCCATGTGGATTTGGAACCAGGTGGATGTCTCCACTTTCCACGTTTCGGAGCGATGTCCTCCCATGTGAGAATCCCCCTGGAGGAAAATCCACCTGGCTTAAAATATTGATAAATGGACTTGAATGGTTATGCGGATTTTCACCGGCTGTAACGTCCACCAGGTTGGAAATCCATCCTCTGTCCACCTGGTTTTTCAGCCAGGTGGATGCAATGGACGGTAAAAAATGGTGTTCATGAAACTCATAAATAATACTGGTAATCGTCCATCGTTCATCATTCAATATTCAATAGCCATTCATTTACACATATAACTCTTCTATTCCAAGCGATATGAATGAATGATTTCTTTAATCGTCGTTCCATGAGCAGAAGTCTACGCCCCCACCCACGAATTCGACCGAATTCGGTGACGGAGAACCTGCTTACGAGGAATTATTTGTGCCTGACAATTCCAAAGAAGAATTCAAGGACGTGAGCGTTTTTCAACTTAGAAACTAAGGGTGGATTTTTGAACAGAGAACTATCCGATAATGCAGCTTTATTTACCGGATTTATAATGCATTTTCTCTGAAATAAAACTGCATTATCGGATAATTTGAACTTAGAAACTAAGGGTGGATTTTCGAACAGAGCACTATCCGATAATGCAGCTTTATTTACCGGATTTATCATGCATTTTCTCTGAAATAAAACTGCATTATCCGATAGTGCTCTGTTCAAAAATCCACCCTATGAATATACGAAAAAAAATCAGTCATAAAGGGATGACCTTGACTCCTAGGCGATGGTGTTCAGGACGGCCTTACGGGACCTCTCGCCCGAAATGCTTCTCCGGATCACCCATTCATGGAATGAACTCATATGGGACTGCACGTTTGAGGGGAAAATCTGCATGGATGGAAGGTGAGTTGGAGATTCAGGATGGCATTCCGTGTTCCTATACGAAACTCTTTATGGATCGTGGATAATTTATTTTCCTTGCAGATGAAATGCACACAAAACGTCGTTATCTTTATTGCAGCTGCTGTTCATGTTCGCCATGGGTTTCAAGTTCTCATCCTAATTGAGACAATAAATATAAATGGGTGAAAACTGACAAACTTAAGTTAATTTTGTCTCTGTTTCAAACCAGTTATATGTTAAAATGTAGGTATTTTAATCGGTGCTATCTAGTATTGCAATGTTGCCAGGGCTCATAGTGATTCCTGTTTTCCTCCCGAGATACTTTGATGGAAATTTTCGAGTTTTTTAAGAATGAATTTCTATCACATTTAACTTCGTCTCAACTTTCATTCGAACCGAAAAACTCATTTCTAGCTCAATTATGACAAAATATGGCCAAAATGACCCACTTTCCCCCTCGAGTCTATCTCCGAATTTTAAATATCCTAGAACCGCTTGTAGTGGTAGTTAGTCATACGAGCTTTTTCATGAATCAGTTTCAGCGTTATTAATTATTTTTCTTAAGCAAGTCTCTGTCGGACCTGTTCGACCACTTCAGCTCGTATATCTCAGTAACGGTACGTTACATTTAATGGTGAAGTCCAAATTAAAGGACATTCCACATATTCACGTTTGCTCATACGGCATCTCAAACGAAACAAAACATTCTCATTTGCAGGAATTTTCCCCCGATCGTGAACTCCCTCTACGGAACCTGCTTCATGTTCAACAGCGAGTTAAACTCCAATGACCCCGCTGCTGGGAAACGAATCACCCGTGTTGCGGGGAATACTTATGGTGAGTACAGATCTAGTTATGAAAAAGCTCATACCATCTGAATGACCTGTCAGCTTCTTTTCTTCGATATTTTTGAGGCAATCGGTAATTCGAGGCAACTAATCTCCATAAATTAACTTGCTCTCCAGAGGTTCACCTCCCTAAATAGAGGGCCAGAGGTTGTTAAGCCTGGCTGCCTGAGAGCGATATGGCTTCAGTTTCACCTTTGTGGGCCGCAGTTTTCTTCTTTCTCAAAGTCTCACGACGATTGTATAAAATATAATGCAGAGACAGAGGAATATCTTGATTTTTTGAATGTTTGATATATTCTTGAGTCATCGTGCCAGTGAAACTGTCAGTAACATGCTCATTCCTCTTGAATGTACGAGCGAAGATGAACTCCAAAGAAGGATTCGTCTCGCCAAGGACGGATTCTGTGACTTGGCTGACGATCGAGCCGCAGCTCACCCGTTTTACTGATAATGTTGTATTGTCCTCTTATCGTCTACTTTTTAAAAGTTATTTCTGGATTTTTGGCGGCTGGGGCATTTCAAACTGTGATTGGTGCCCTCGTTAATGTTCATCAGTCAACCATAACCCGGTATCACTAAGGTGTGGAGCACTCTCCGCTACCCGTCCCTCCATTATCAGTTCCGGACGAAGGAGAAAACTAAAATTAGATCCTGCTGTTTTGGGATCATAAGGACCAATAGGAGCAATGTCAGTACTCGTAAGAATAAACAGTAACGAAGAGAAGATCGGTTAGGAATGTACTTGAAGCCTCTGGCACTCACCTGCAGAGATGTCCAAGGTCCAAGATGTCATCACCGTCGAAATGCAGAGGGACAAACGCCAGTAGACTAAATTCCTGGCATTCCGCATGAAAATTCCCGACCATTTGCAGGTCTTACTTCGTATACGTAAAAGGCCAAACAGTGAAAGCGAAAGTGAAAAAAAATGTACGAGGTAAGTCACATATATCGAGCAATTGCCTTCATTCCATAGCTTCTCAATTTCATGTTTTCTCCGTTTACCTTTTTCAAAAAATGTTAAATGCACGTATAGGCAGAGACTCTGTGGATACCAACGCGACCAATCCATTGCATAAATATGCGAATCGGCCTAATCTTCGTCATGTTTACTTGATTTACTCATGCCGGAAAATCAAGAAAATCGCGTTAGGATTGTATAACGCCTATTCACTAATTTGGTCATTCTCACCCTCATGCCACTGGAAGGAGTCCCCTGCATTTTCCATGACCCAAACGTTGTTTGCTCCCATGCCACTTCATGGAAGACATTTAAAATCTTGGATAAACGGATTGACGTAATATGAAAGAGATAACGGGACTCCAGGTGCAAAAGTCGGTCCCACCCCCATCCTCCTCCCTGCTTTGAATAAATTGTGGAAATAAATTATATATTATATCAATTATAAATTATGCGCCTTCAGGCTCTCAGAGCTTGAAGGCGCTCAAGCTGGCACACGATTACGTCGACAGGGGATCATTATTATGTTAGCGCATTTTCAATATCAGGAAAAGGAGAAGACGATGGCAAGATGTTGAAGGTTCAGTGCTAACCCAACGGATTTTCAACGTTGAACTGTGTTCCGCTCCAAAATTGCGGTAATATTTCATTTTTAATATATATATATATATTTTCTTTATTCGTGGTAATACACGTAAAAACCGTATGCGCTATGTTGAGGCGAAATTGTCAAGCTGAGAATTTAATCCTCGTCAGAAATAGACAAAGCATTGTGCAAAATTTCAATCCAATCGTGACCTCGTCCCATGGAATTTTCATTTTTCCCTAGCCGAAGAAAACTGGGAGGTATTGAGATGTGATACGCGCGTCGGAGATTGTATTTATTCATTTCTTTGCAAGTCGGCTATTTGAATGTGAGTATCGTAAGGTAAAAAGAGCAGTGCTGTTGCTGGATATGGCGGTTTAAAATATTATTTAAAAGATGAATTCGTATCCTTGGTGGCTTTTGAATTTCATCCGTGCTTCCGGGGCACCCCCTACACACATAAATACTACATATAAGAAAACTCCCGCAAGGACTGTCTCTCCTCGACCAGTAGGCAAGAGAAAAAAGGGATTGATATATTTTGCCGTTGTTAGGGCTCTCGCTCTCGCTCTACCTGGACCAAGACCAATACACCTCAAACGCCGTCTCCGAGAGCGCCGGGATTCGACTGGTCGTCCACACCACCAACGAACTCCCAAACCCCATGGAGCAGGGACGCTCCCTCCTCCCGAACACGCGAACGTCCCTCGGGATCAAGACGGTAAGGACGGTTCCTCCGTGGATTTCTATCCAGAATTTATTTTATTTGTATTTACGTATTTCAATGGAGAATATTGCGTTAACGGAGGCGCTGAGGTGAAGGTGTGCGGCTATGGTTGCAGGTGAATATCAAGCGGCTGTCGGAACCATATGATAACGGCTGCTCCGCCTCGTGGAAAGAAACCAAGGTGAAACCCTACAACCCATTGAACCCGAATATCCCCATCGCCTACAATCTCGTGGTGAGTTGAAATAATTTTTTTTCGTCTTTTTTCTGCATTCTGCGTTGGAAGGGGCGTTAAATAGGTGCGATTCTTTATCTCCGAATGCCTTTCGTTCGATTTTTTAAAAACCTTTAAAGCATGAAAGTGAGGGGTAATTTCACTTCTCCTTTGCAAAATCTGGCTTTGGTCCTACTTATTGCCATAACGTACGATTTTTTAAAAGTATATATGGAGATATGATGGCACATGGCAGAGTCGTTCAGCTTATACAGATTCATCTAAAACATACCAAATAAACTCATGTGTTTATTTTCGTTTTTGCTTCAGTCATTCATTCAAAGTGTAATGGATGAATTCGGCAAAAGAGTTTCGTTGGTATGCGTGGATAGGCCTTCGAGATTGCAGAAGTGAGATATAGGCCGTTAAAACGTCAAAAAAGTTTTAAATAGTTATAATTTTTTCTTATTTAACAGGAGATGAATATGGGAAAAATGACATGCTTTTTCGGTGTCTTCATTCCGCTAAAAACCAAAATCAGCAACCTCGGACTGTAACGCCAAAATGCAAGGGAGAAAGTAAATCGATCAATTTTATTTAAATTCTAAATTCTTCTATGCCTTCGAAAAATAAAAATTCATCCGCTGAAAATCCCCTAGCGTAGGGGGCTGAACGGTTTTCCAATAATGGGAGAGTCAGATGAACATTTCCTGATGGCAGTGTCACAGGCAATTTCCCGAATAGGGCTGGCCAATGACCCATTTCTTGCAGGGAACCGGTCTTCGTATCCGTAGAGAGCATAGTGTTTCCGAAGTTAAATTAGTGAAAATTGTTTGTTGCCCATTTCAGCAATGCATGCGGCTGTGCGAGATCGCGAGCGGAGAGATCAATTGCAACTGCCGCAACCCGCTCTACACCGATGTCGTGGTGGGGCCCGGCGGAGTTCGCAACGACACCCGCTTCTGCAATTTCACGTCAGGAAGTAATCGCAATTCGATTCCGGGAATTCTCGGAATCGAATGCAGCCGATGAGATTTTTTTTTTTCTCTCCGTCGCAGGCGCGGACGTGAATTGTTTGGAGAGAACGATGAATTCGCTGAATGCCGAGAACAGCTCGTGTTCCTGTAAGGCGGCTTGCGAGTCAGTACATCATTTATGTTTTCTTAAAAAAAAAAACGCTGATTTCATAACTCATGAAAATTGACATGCATTTTCATAACATCTCGAAGGGAGACGTCATATCAAGCCTCCATCTCGAGCTCATCGTGGCCGGCCACCAACTACCTGGTGAGTGCAACTAATTATTTCCAGCCTTCGGCATCGTCCAACGATTCGGTCGTCATCGTAGGTTTTTTTTTTATTATTGCGCGTTAGAAGAGATCGCTGCCGAGAATAGGGGCAGCCTTGGGCATGGTTCTTCCCAGGCCGGGAGAATTATCGGAAAGCGACACGAAAGAATTCCTGAACGGCGTGCAGAATAACCTTCTGAAGGTGGATGTCTATTTCCAGAGTCTCAGCTACGACATCATCGAGCAGCAGCCCAAAATGGATGTAAGCCACGCCCTCCGTGCGTTTTTGAGGCCATATGAGGGTAAATGCGGCGCTGAAGCGTGTTTCCATGCGTTCTAGACGTGGGCTCTGCTTTCGAATCTTGGAGGGATTTCGGGAGTATATGTGGGGCTCTGCCTCATCGTCCTGGTCGAAGTCCTTGAATTAATCCTCCTCCTGATCTACAGATCCCTCTGGTACGTTTGCCTTGGGTCGTCAAAGGAGAAATTTCCCCCGATGCCCAAGAACACTCCGGCAGAATCGGAGGCAGAATTGGAGGAATTGCCACCTTCCCAGCCCTTCGCGCGAGGCTCTGCTTCGTTAAGGGCGTAGGTTTGCATGGCCGACTCCCTTTTTCGTCGAAATCCTCCGGGGAATACGCCCTTTATATATGTCTTGTCCTATTTCTTTGGAGGACGATATCAGATGGTTCGAGCGAAAATCATGCGTATGTTTAAGAGCTCGAGTCGATCCCATGTGTAGAATACGGCGCCAAAGAGATCGATCGATATCATGGATTGTATAAAATCGTTTTCAAGTATTTCTCATCAAACAAACGGAAAACTGAAGATATCGTGATTTGCTTTAGCCGCTCTTTCTTTCCCTCCTGCCCTTGTCTGCAAACAATTCACGTCGCCATCTATCAATACCAGCACAAATCATGTATCGAGGGTGGGGCATTGTTTCGTCGTTTCCGCATCGTCCCGTGAAACAAAAATGCAATGCCCTGGCGTTTTTTGGTGAATTATATCCGCACGACACACAGACACGTGAAACACGCATCGAGTTGGAAAGCACTCAAGGAGAAATGCTCAATCTGGTGTCCATCTTCATTTGCACAATATTTCTGCCTATCCGGTACAGAACGGCACGAAACAAAATAAATATGCCCATTGTGATGTGATCACTCTCTCCACTTTCGGAATGTTTTTGTGGAATGTTCACAATCCCCTAGTGGGCCTGGATTTCTTGGCCATATTTGGCAGTTCTTTTTGGGTGAATGTTTGTTGCCTGTTATATGTATTTGTGTCCTGCTCGGGTTGGCAACACTGTGGAGGTGGAAGGCGTGAAGGCAGACGCGCAAAATACGCCATTCCCTGCCACTTCCTTCCGGCATGTGCCTCACCTCGCAGTGTCTCTCTCTATAGTGTTGTATACTGTAACCCAAGAGAGCAGAGTGTTGAGTCTCTGTGTGCTTGTGTATTTGTGTAGGCCTTGTATGTATGTAGGCCTAGGTCTAAGCTGGTAATGTGGTTTACTCCCACATTTCCAACCTTCCGCCTAGCAGTGACCTTTTGTTAGACGGTTGGTCGGAAAACATTTTTCCGAACTTTGAAGGTTGGGTTTTTTCCTGACCGACTTGCTCTGACCGGCTTGTCCTGACCGGTTCATCTTCACCGGCTTGTCCTGACCGGTTTGGCTTCACCGGCTTGTCTTCACTGGCTTGTCTTCACTGGCTTGTCTTCACTGGCTTGTCTTCACTGGCTTGTCTTCACTGGCTTGTCTTCACTGGCTTGTCTTCACTGGCTTGTCTTCACTGGCTTGTCTTCACTGGCTTGTCTTCAACTGTTGGTGATGTCTAAATTAATGGGATAAATTTGCTCTAAATAAAAGTGTGTTTGTGTGTGTGAGTGAGAATCCACTTGTTTCTGTTCAGAGCACTGTTTGTCACGGGGCACAGAACCCATAAGCCCGCTACCTTTCAGCTCAGCAATGTATCAATGATGAATGTGTTCCGCTTTCTCCTATCTCTCGAAAAAAATTGTAAATCGGCAAAATAAAAAGAACATTTACCTGCATCCTTTTTCGAATTCATTTTGTGGCTGCAGCGAAATACGAAATAATTAGCGAAATAGCGAAATTATACGACGGTCATCAAAGTTCATGCTCGGAATTCTGATTAGATTGTTCCTAATGAACCCGATGGAAGAAACGGCTCGTTCGGATTTCGCCGTCTGGGGGACATGCCAGGGCGTACTTGCTCGGGTTCGGGTCCCTTTTTCGCGAGGAGGTCACGTGACCTTTTTGCGAGGAAAGGTCACGGTCAATTTGGACAATTTGGAACGGATGAAGGAAAAGCAGATGGAAATTTCGCGCACTTATAATTTAAATAACGCTGATTTCATGAAATATATTTTTAAAAATAGGACTGAACGTACTTCGAGCGCACTTTTGGCCTATCAATTGAGTTGCCATATAATTTTTCCCGGAGCGAAGGAATTTTATTTCCTTTCGGATTAATAGAATTCAATTTGTTCCACATTTATTTTGCACAAACCAAAAACCAGATTGTTGCCGACTGCATTTCAAAGACACGCAGAGGAGTATGGCGTCACCATCCGTGGCGACGTGTCTCTTCAGCAATCACTTGCTGGTTCAAATCGATATTGCCTTTCGTTGATCCTTCCGTTGAAGGACGTCGTTGCATGGAAATTTCCGGGGTCAGGTCGTCACTCGACGAATCCATGAATGAATGACTGAATGAAAGCCCGCGAGACCATTTGGTTCAGAGCGACCCGTTCACGGGTGAGCAATTCACGGAGTGTTAATTGTCGACCAATGAAATGACGACACGATTGGTCTCGAAATCTCACGGTTGCTCACAGGCTACCGATATATTGTGTGATATTTTCACCGGGGCGACACGCTTCTGCAGCTGCTCCCAACTTCTGAAACGGCTGCATATTAAATGATGATGCATTTTGATCGTTTAGAGCAGGTGTCGGCAACCGCCGGATCCTTGGGACGGCGGGCCGGATCCTGCCCGCGAAGGTATTTCATCCGGCCGGCCAAGCACGCTAAGAAAAGAGGGGATTTACTTTATACAGTGAAAACTCGTTAACTCGAATCCTGATTAGTCGAAATTCCGCTTATCTCAAAGTTCAAAGCTTGGTCCCGGCGGAACCCCGTAGGACACCACGTTAAATGCTCCGTTTAACTCAAATTCGCTTATCTCGAATATGGGGGGGGGGGGGGGCGATTCCTGATAACTCGAAACGATTTGCCCGGTCCCTAAAAGTTCGAGTTAACGAGTTTTCACTGTATTTCATTTTTTATTTTGAATTCCCCACACTCCCTCCTCCGGGGAGATCATCACCACGATGAATTTCACACTCCGGCCCGCCATAGGGTCGATCCGGCCAGCAATTAGTGAAAGGTTGCCGGCATCTGGCTTAGAGATCAGACGGAGATGACAACTTAAAGAAATACCAAGTCGCGGTATCGCCTTCCCCATAAACGCGAAGAGGAAGGAGTGCTACGCCACGACTCTCCCTGCGAAAAATGGAAAGGAGGGGGCTCGGGGCGATGGACGTCCCTCGTCCTTCACTCCCCTTATAGGACCATCGCGTGCCGGACAAGAGAAAGCGAAGGTCGAGGCCGCACCAGCCCGAGTCGCTCGTCCGTCGCCCCCCTCCGTATCGCTCTCGGCCGTCTTCCCATCGCGTTCCTCTCCCGATGCGAGGAGGTCACCCGCGATCCCACTCGCCTCCTTCCTTCCCTCTCCCGATGCCGCTCGAGTGCGCCTGCCCGTACCGAATGGAACTCCTCTGATGCGAGTGTGAGACGAAGATCCTTCGCGTGACAGGGTCGCTGTCAGAATTCCAAAGTAAATTCCCAGTCGTTCTATTGGGTGATTCAGCGGTGCCACTCTCAGGATGTGATACACTCCATTGCAGACGGAGATTTGCAGACGCTCGCGTGGTATCCCGATCGAGGGTGTGTCTCTTGTCCTGTCATCTTCACCGAGCTGTGTCTCGAGTCCTGTCATCGTCTCCGAGGTGTGTCTCAGGTCCTGTCATCGTCTCCGGGGTGTGTCTCAGGTCCTGTCATCGTCGAGGAATGCCAATCCGCGCCGACTGCGTTTCCATTTCTGCGATGCATGTACACGCCGCCGTATCGTGCTGATGTCGGAAGTGCATCGTGTGATGCCTGTGATGTCTGCCCGACGAGTCGTTCTTCGATAAGCCGTGAGTCTCTTGCCGATGCTTTCGGGGTGGAATTGCGTGAAATATCGTGGTTGACGAATGCGTCGATGAGGAATCCAAATTCAGAAACGGAATGAAGTCAGAGGAAGCAAGAAAACGATTCCGAAATGAGGTCTGTGTCGACGTCGGCAGTCGTTCGTAAAATAGTCGAACGTCAGAATTACGTCGTACAAACCACGGAATGAGGATATAAATCCGAATATCGTTCTCAAGGTTGAGTCCGACGTGGATCGCCCAGCGAGCGACTACGGGAAATAAAAACACGTGCCCCTGTACCAAAACAACGCCAGAGCGAGCGATCCGCCCGCGATGGCCTCAGCACGCAAGGAGTATTCCATATATACGAGCATCGAAGAGGGGATCGGGATATCTCTCCTTCGTCGTTATGTGGTGCATTCGGAATGTCAGAGGGAGGCCGGCGAGGCCCTCGTCTTCCCGGCGAGGCCCTCGGCGAGGGCGGGTGACGCAACGGAGGACGCATCGCCGAGTCGGATCGGTGTTGCTGGCATCTTACGATCGACAAACGTCGAGAAACTGTTAAACATTGGAATCAGAGAGTCCATTTCAAAACGACTTATGAAAATTGAATTAACATTGATGGAATGTTTCTTGCGGGCAGCAGTTCAACACCGCTAAACGACTGCGTTCCTTCTTCTTTTTATATATTATAATTTATATATATATATATATGTATTCGAAACAAATGATAGGATGAACCCACGACACGCCGACGAGCACCGCGTAAATACAGTTTCCAAAGCGAATCTCATCGTCATTGCAGCAGCGAACGGGAAATGCCGGAGCCGGAGGCGGGGGAGGGCGGGGGTCGGAGGCCCCGGGGGAGGTCCAAGCTGAGGAGGTTCCGGCCGCTGCTGGCGGCGGGGGCCGTCGCGGTCGTCGTCGGGCTGGTCGTCGTCCTCTGGTACGGGTACAGGGGGGGCGGGGGGGAGGGAGGGGGGGCGGGAGGTGGGGAGGATCTCGAGTTCGACGACTTTCTGCGGAATCGATTCGGGGCACGGTCCTTTGCCTTCAATGCTTCTTGGCTCTCGGGTGAGCAAAGTCTGCATTTAAAAGACATTTAAATGTCCATCATGCGTTTTTCCGTGCTCTCTATTTTTTTGGACTTCCTTCTCGCAGACGTGGAGCTGCTGTTCGTGAATGGGAACAGAGACCTGGCTAAATTTGATGTCACGACCAACAAGGAAACCCTTTTGATTCCTTCAGCGGTTCTCGTCCGTAATTTCCTCCGCGTTCATTATTAATCGCATTCGAGATGAATTGCGAGGAGTGGAATTTTGTATTCCAGAGCGACCTGAATGTTCCTGGCCTGGGATTCATGTGGGTCTCCGCGACTCAAAAATTCGTTCTCTTGGCGTCGGACGTTCAAATGGTTATTTTCCATCGCCTCGTCTTTCCAGCGAGGAATGAGAGTACAGCTGATTTTTAATCCTTTCGTTGCAGATATTCCGGCACTCATATGTGACTCGCTACTTCATTTACGACGTCGAGAGGCAGTGAGTCACAATCCCGCGACCATCGATTTTTTTCCCCGAGAAATCCGTAAACTTCACTCACGCTCTCGATGCAAGGGAGGTGATGGACGTGACCTTGCACGGTCCGAAGGAGGGGAACCGGACGCAGCTCCGGCCGGACCCGCCGCAATATTTCTTCCTGGCGAAATGGGCCCCGACGGAAGACCGCCTCGTTTTCGTCTTCGAGAACGATATTTATTACCGCCCGGACCCGCGAGTGAACAGGGACTTCCGCATCACCGCCGACGGGGAGATGGATGTCTTCTACAACGGCATCGCCGATTGGGTCTACGAAGGCATCCGTTTTTCTTCTTCTTTTTCTTCTCCTATTGCAATTCACAGGGAAAGCGTGATTCGACGTTTGTGCCTTCAGAGGAGGTCCTCGGCGACTCGAGTGNGAAAAGCCATTCCAGTCGCGATGCTTCTTCAAAATGCGCCGAGATTCGTGTCGCGTGGGAAAATGGAGCTAGACCGATATTACAACACGTGCTGAAAGTTGCCAAACATCAGTTAAATATGGCATCCCTTCATTTCCGTAACAGACACAAGTGTTTCGAGCAGTTTCATTCCGCACAACTGCAAAATGCACGACACGTTCGCGCAAGTGACACACGCATCGCGATGATGAGCCCGACTGGACGGCGGCCTTTCTTACTTGTCGGTTTCGTCAGGGGAGATTCCCCCGAAATTCACGGGGGAATGAAATGGAATTGCGAAGACGAGTCTATGAAGACTCTTTCTTCGAAGACACCTCTGAAGTAAATGCCCACGGAACGAGCACGGAACGAGCACGTTTTCGGCCAAGCTTGAAGGAAATTGCCACGCCCTCTCCACTTCTCTGGAAGGCGAAGAATCCCTATCGCATTTTGCGACGAGAGGATTTGGCTAGCCCACCCCCCAAGCTGGGAACACGAAACCAGTTGGGATCCTACCGCAGAATCACGAGGGTGAATTTCGAAAATGAAAATGATCCACACACGTGTGCATCGCAGCACCCATTAATGCGCTCAGTCTGTCACACACGACCTCGAGTTCGACGACTTTCTGCGGAATCGATTCGGGGCACGGTCCTTTGCCTTCAATGCTTCTTGGCTCTCGGGTATGAGCAAAGTCTGCATTTAAAAGACATTTAAATGTCCATCATGCGTTTTTCCGTGCTCTCTATTTTTTTCGGCTTCCTTCTCGCAGACGTGGAGCTGCTGTTCGTGAATGGGAACCGAGACCTGGCTAAATTTGATGTCACGACCAACAAGGAAACCCTTTTGATTCCTTCAAGGGTTCTCGTCCGTAATTTCCTCCGCGTTATAATAATTAGCGTAAGCTCTACTTAACGCTCCTCACCTTAAAACATAAGGTCTCGCTGGACTTACAAGGACCGGACCCTAAGTACACCCAGAGGCGCTGAGTTTTTAAGCAAGAGAACCGCAGCCTGGTTCAAATGGTTATTTTCCATCGCCTCGTCTTTCCAGCGAGGAATGAGAGTACAGCTGATTTTTAATCCTTTCGTTGCAGATATTCCGGCACTCATATGTGACTCGCTACTTCATTTACGACGTCGAGAGGCAGTGAGTCACAATCCCGCGACCATCGATTTTTTTCCCCGAGAAATCCGTAAACTTCACTCACGCTCTCGATGCAAGGGAGGTGATGGACGTGACCTTGCACGGTCCGAAGGAGGGGAACCGGACGCAGCTCCGGCCGGACCCGCCGCAATATTTCTTCCTGGCGAAATGGGCCCCGACGGAAGACCGCCTCGTTTTCGTCTTCGAGAACGATATTTATTACCGCCCGGACCCGCGAGTGAACAGGGACTTCCGCATCACCGCCGACGGGGAGATGGATGTCTTCTACAACGGCATCGCCGATTGGGTCTACGAAGGCATCCGTTTTTCTTCTTCTTTTTCTTCTCCTATTGCAATTCACAGGGAAAGCGTGATTCGACGTTTGTGCCTTCAGAGGAGGTCCTCGGCGACTCGAGTGCCGTCTGGTGGTCGAGGGACAGCAGGAACTTCGCTTTTCTTTCCTTCGACGATGCGAACGTTCCTCTCATGGAGTATTCCGTCTATCAGTCGTACAACATCTCCAACCAGTATCCCGCCACGGTCAAGCTTCACTATCCCAAAGTAATAAATTATTACCTTGGGATTACAATAATTAGTTGCAATAATTATGATAATTAAAATAATTATTACAATAATTAGTCCGCACTCGCAGAGTGCGGACTGGATATATCTGATAACGGTGGTTCATATTATTCGTTATTGTTATCATTAGTCTGGGAGGGAGAATCCGGTCGTGAAAGCTTGGATCGTCGACGTGGAGGCGTTGGAAGCGGATCCGTCTTCAGAATTCAAGTTTCCCATTCTTCCTCCTCCTCTCTTCCAGAATCGGTGAGCCGGAGGCAGAAAATGTCACCGCATCTTGGATGACGCCGTGTTTTGCATGAGATCCTCCTTTATTGTAGGGAACATTATATAACGGGGATTTCTTGGTCTGCAAATTCTCGTATTGCCGTGAATTGGCTCAATCGACATCAGAATCACAGCGTTACGACCCTCTGCTCCGAGTCGAGTGAAAGAGCAAGGAATTGGTCTTGTTCCGTCGTGAGTATCCCTTCACATACAACCGAATCTAATCGCTGAATCAGCCCAGAACTGAACCGTTTGATGCGAATTGGCCACCCAGGACCTGGAATTGAAGAATAGCGAGGGATGGCTCGAGATAGCAGCTCCGGACTTTTCTCCCTCCCCTGCGTCTTCGGATTACCTCATCGTGTATCCGCACGAAGGCTGGAAGAAGCTCTTCGAGGTTTCCTCGTCGCGTCCTCGACCTCTCACTCCGGTTGGGTTTGAGGTCACCGGGGTCTATAAATGGGATGTGGGAAAAGACCGCATGTGAGTCGTATCAGATCTCATTGCTGTCGGTGTCGCATTGTTTCTCCGTGATGAATCGACATGATTTTTATCTTGCATTCTTTTGAAAAATGTTTTCAGATACATCCAAGGTGTGTATGGAAATGCTCCGTCAAAGAGGGGCGTATATGTGATAAAAGCCGGTGTCATGACCTGTTTGTCATGCTACTCACCTTCAGAAGAAGATTGTTCCTACGCATCTGGCTACTTCAGCGAGAATGCCTCCTATTACGTGCTTCAGTGCGCGACACCAACGACCGTCGCGAACCTGGTGACCATCAGGGAGACGGAAAGCGGGGAGGTGCTGAGGGAGTGGCTTTCCAATCGTAAGCTCATGGAGAACCTGAGCAAGAAGAACCTCCCCGTCGAAAAGGACTTGGAAGTGGACGTGGCTGGAGGGTTCAAGGCTCAGGTTCGCCTCTACCTCCCTCCTGGTCTCGACGAAGCCGGATCCACCAAATACCCGATGATCGTTGAAACGTAATCCTGCATATCTCTTCAGATCTCTTGACTTCGGATTTTGGCTTTTAGAAGAATAATTATTCCTCCTTTCTTTCCTGGATGCAGGTATGCCGGTCCCAATTCCAAAAGTATCCTTGACTCATGGAGAGGGATTAATTGGGGAACTTATCTCTCGGGGACCGAAGGGATCATTTATGCAATGATCGATGGAAGAGGATCCAGATTCCGCGGGGAACAATACCTTTATCAACTGTATCGTCGCTTGGGCACTGTCGAGGTGCAGGATCAAATAAATGTCACGAGGTATTCGGTATCGATACCATTTATGATATTGGAAGTGCTCTTTAATACACTGCTCATCTTTCTTCCTTAATTTTCTTCAACAAGGTCATTGGTCCGAGACCTGGGATACATTGATGAGACTCGAGTGGGCATCTGGGGTTGGAGCTATGGTGGCTTCACGACCGCCATGGCTTTAGCCACCGATACCGAAGATGTTTTCAAGTGTGGCATATCTGTGGCACCCGTCACTTCTTGGCTTTATTACGGTCATTATCCTTCTCTTCATCATGGCCTCTTGTGCCCATTCATTCAGGAAAAATGTTGCTCTGGGTTTAGACTTAATTTTCAGATGCCGAATCGGCCTTTGTCGTAAATAGATTCCATATACTCGGAGCGATATATGGGGCTGCCGACTCCAACGGACAACCTGGCCGGTTACGAAGCCGCGACCATGCTCACTTCTGAAAAATTGAAGAATTTCCGCAAGAAGCTCTTCTATGTGATTCACGGGAGCGCAGACGACAACGTCCACTATCAGCAGTCCATGATGCTGGCGAAGGAGCTCGAGCTGAGAGACATCCTCTTCAGGCAGCAGGTAAAAAGAAACCTCAGCTCCGGATGCAAACGGTAAAAGTGGATGCATTCCAAGGCGTTGTTGGAATCCTTACCTGACCTTTGCATTTCCAGTCACTGAACGGATGAAACTAGTCCATTTCAAGTGAGACTTAGACCACTCTATCAGGTGCTCTTTTAAGGATTGGTTGGATAAATCTTGAATCTTGATAGGCGAGAAAGCATTTTGGAGAATTCTTTATGGCGTGAATCATGACCAAACCCACTCGTTTTCGATTTGGTAAATTTTTAAAATAGTTATTGCTGCGTCACTCAGTCAAAAATCACTCACGCCTCAAATTATGGTGAAGTTGTCCACTCTCAAGCATGGAGGTAGCCAATACGAACACTAACGGAAATGCCACATTATCACCTAGATTACCTTACCTTACCTGTTCCATGTGAGTAACGATTGTTCCTTTCCAGTCGACTTGAGTGGACGCAGCGGGAGCACTCCTCGCTGGGCTCCACTTATTGCAGGCGAAATCGATGAAAAAGAGAGAGGGAAATGTGCTGCCAACAAGCAGTCACTGTGAAAACTAAATTTGCAGAAAATTCAAATGTTTCCTGACATTTGCTCCACTCTGTACTGTTCCCCCTCACATTGGACGTGTCTTGATCTCGTCTGATTCGAGAATTTCGTGCATCTTCCAGAGTTATCCTGACGAAGACCACGGGCTTAGTGACGTCAGACCCCACCTCTATCATTCCATGTTGGAATTTTGGAGCGATTGCTTCCACCTCACCTGATCTTGGATCTTTCGTGAAATAAATCCAAAGCAGCCGGCTACACCCAGGAGGCATCATTCTCCTTCGAAATGTCGGTCCCCTTGCATCTGGACACCAAAGACTGCGCCCTTTCTCAAACTTTCTGAAACTCGCACAGAACAGTGTCAGCCGCGTTTGACTGATCTTACAGAAGGCCCCAACGATTCCCGAAAATACGCGTTCCAGGAAAATGAGCGACTCTTTCAACAGGACCCGCCGAGGTGACCCCATCTTTCTCCTCGCGAACTACAAACCGCTCGCACTTAAAGAGCACCTTGGAGGGTAGCAATATTTTGGGGTGGTGTATGCATCGAAAACCGTATCACCATGGCATTCCATAGTAATGTTTTTTCCTCCAATGGTATACAGAAGAGAGACACAAAGTATTTAAGTTGCCTTAGACAAACCAGAGGTATCGAAGAAGGATCAGGTAGCCATATTCAAAACAAAACATTAACCACTCATGAAACACTCATGAGGTAAGAGTTTCATGGATTAAGTTTTTTTTCATAAATTACAACGTTACAGAGTTAAAACGCAGAAGGCCAGAGTTTGGGGTTTTGGTGGAACCGAAGCCTAGGCGAAAGACGATCATGCGTCTCAAGAAAATGTTTCACCGACCGGGAACTGTTTTGGACGGTAAACACCCAAGTGGACCTTAAACGGGACGAAAATGTGCAAATGGGGCATTTGCTGCTGAAGAGGGCCGGCGGTTTCTAAACGTGACGCAGTCGGATTTTTTTTTTTCTGAGGTCGTCACTTCGTGAAAAGGTTTAATTCCGTCTTGTCCACGTTCTCGACCACCTACAGCTCCGGAACATGCCGGAATCGGAGACAATAACAGCGGAGCTCTGCCGAAAAGCATGCGGGAAGGTGTCGGATGGTCTCCGGACGGATTTCCCCTTTGGTGGTGACCAGGCCGGTCGTGAAATGGAGAGCACGGGGAGATCACAGGCTGCACCTGCACACACCTATTCGTTTTGCGGCTGCTTTCGGATCATTTTTGGTCGAGAGTGGACCTCGTTGACGGTAATCTGTGTCGCGCCACGGATAAAGGCTCGTCCTAATCGATTTCGTTGCGATAGTCCAGCAGAATTGAGGAAAGGCGAACGATAGGGATGAGGGTGATTCCCTTCCAACACTACGTCCTCGAAAAGAGAAGAAGGCACCGCGATGTCATTCGCCTCCGACTCCACCGATCCGCCGTCGAAAACTCCATTCCAAGTGGCAATGTAGGAGATCCTTCGAGTAGGGCGTTTCAGCTCTTTAATTAACTAAGACCGTCGAAAAGCCATTCCAGTCGCGATGCTTCTTCAAAATGCGCCGAGATTCGTGTCGCGTGGGAAAATGGAGCTAGACCGATATTACAACACGTGCTGAAAGTTGCCAAACATCAGTTAAATATGGCATCCCTTCATTTCCGTAACAGACACAAGTGTTTCGAGCAGTTTCATTCCGCACAACTGCAAAATGCACGACACGTTCGCGCAAGTGACACACGCATCGCGATGATGAGCCCGACTGGACGGCGGCCTTTCTTACTTGTCGGTTTCGTCAGGGGAGATTCCCCCGAAATTCACGGGGGAATGAAATGGAATTGCGAAGACGAGTCTATGAAGACTCTTTCTTCGAAGACACCTCTGAAGTAAATGCCCACGGAACGAGCACGGAACGAGCACGTTTTCGGCCAAGCTTGAAGGAAATTGCCACGCCCTCTCCACTTCTCTGGAAGGCGAAGAATCCCTATCGCATTTTGCGACGAGAGGATTTGGCTAGCCCACCCCCCAAGCTGGGAACACGAAACCAGTTGGGATCCTACCGCAGAATCACGAGGGTGAATTTCGAAAATGAAAATGATCCACACACGTGTGCATCGCAGCACCCATTAATGCGCTCAGTCTGTCACACACGACCTCGAGTTCGACGACTTTCTGCGGAATCGATTCGGGGCACGGTCCTTTGCCTTCAATGCTTCTTGGCTCTCGGGTATGAGCAAAGTCTGCATTTAAAAGACATTTAAATGTCCATCATGCGTTTTTCCGTGCTCTCTATTTTTTTCGGCTTCCTTCTCGCAGACGTGGAGCTGCTGTTCGTGAATGGGAACCGAGACCTGGCTAAATTTGATGTCACGACCAACAAGGAAACCCTTTTGATTCCTTCAAGGGTTCTCGTCCGTAATTTCCTCCGCGTTAATTATTAATCGCATTCGAGATGAATTGCGAGGAGTGGAATTTTGTATTCCAGAGCGACCTGAATGTTCCTGGCCTGGGATTCATGTGGGTCTCCGCGACTCAAAAATTCGTTCTCTTGGCGTCGGACGTTCAAATGGTTATTTTCCATCGCCTCGTCTTTCCAGCGAGGAATGAGAGTACAGCTGATTTTTAATCCTTTCGTTGCAGATATTCCGGCACTCATATGTGACTCGCTACTTCATTTACGACGTCGAGAGGCAGTGAGTCACAATCCCGCGACCATCGATTTTTTTCCCCGAGAAATCCGTAAACTTCACTCACGCTCTCGATGCAAGGGAGGTGATGGACGTGACCTTGCACGGTCCGAAGGAGGGGAACCGGACGCAGCTCCGGCCGGACCCGCCGCAATATTTCTTCCTGGCGAAATGGGCCCCGACGGAAGACCGCCTCGTTTTCGTCTTCGAGAACGATATTTATTACCGCCCGGACCCGCGAGTGAACAGGGACTTCCGCATCACCGCCGACGGGGAGATGGATGTCTTCTACAACGGCATCGCCGATTGGGTCTACGAAGGCATCCGTTTTTCTTCTTCTTTTTCTTCTCCTATTGCAATTCACAGGGAAAGCGTGATTCGACGTTTGTGCCTTCAGAGGAGGTCCTCGGCGACTCGAGTGCCGTCTGGTGGTCGAGGGACAGCAGGAACTTCGCTTTTCTTTCCTTCGACGATGCGAACGTTCCTCTCATGGAGTATTCCGTCTATCAGTCGTACAACATCTCCAACCAGTATCCCGCCACGGTCAAGCTTCACTATCCCAAAGTAATAAATTATTACCTTGGGATTACAATAATTAGTTGCAATAATTATGATAATTAAAATAATTATTACAATAATTAGTCCGCACTCGCAGAGTGCGGACTGGATATATCTGATAACGGTGGTTCATATTATTCGTTATTGTTATCATTAGTCTGGGAGGGAGAATCCGGTCGTGAAAGCTTGGATCGTCGACGTGGAGGCGTTGGAAGCGGATCCGTCTTCAGAATTCAAGTTTCCCATTCTTCCTCCTCCTCTCTTCCAGAATCGGTGAGCCGGAGGCAGAAAATGTCACCGCATCTTGGATGACGCCGTGTTTTGCATGAGATCCTCCTTTATTGTAGGGAACATTATATAACGGGGATTTCTTGGTCTGCAAATTCTCGTATTGCCGTGAATTGGCTCAATCGACATCAGAATCACAGCGTTACGACCCTCTGCTCCGAGTCGAGTGAAAGAGCAAGGAATTGGTCTTGTTCCGTCGTGAGTATCCCTTCACATACAACCGAATCTAATCGCTGAATCAGCCCAGAACTGAACCGTTTGATGCGAATTGGCCACCCAGGACCTGGAATTGAAGAATAGCGAGGGATGGCTCNGAAAAGCCATTCCAGTCGCGATGCTTCTTCAAAATGCGCCGAGATTCGTGTCGCGTGGGAAAATGGAGCTAGACCGATATTACAACACGTGCTGAAAGTTGCCAAACATCAGTTAAATATGGCATCCTTCCATTTCCGTAACAGACGCAAGTGATTCGAGCAGTTTCATTCCGCACAACTGCAAAATGCACGACACGTTCGCGCAAGTGACACACGCATCGTGATGATGAGCCCGACTGGACGGCGGTGTTTCTTACTTGTCGGTTTCGTCAGGGAAGATTCCCCCGAAATGGAATGGAATTGCGAAGAGGAGTCTATGAAGACTCGTTCCTCGAAGACACCTCTGAAGTAAATGCCAACGGAACCGAGCATGGAACGAGCACGTTTTCGGCCAGGCTGAAAGGAAATTGCCACGCCCTCTCCGTTTCTCTGGAAGGTGAAGAATCCTTATCGAATTTTGCAACGAGAGGATTTGGCTAGCCCACCCCCCAAGCTGGGAACACGAAACCAGTTGGGATCCTACCGCAGAATAATCCAGGTGAATATTACCTTTCGAAAATGAAAATGATCCACACGTGTGCATCGCAGCACCCATTAATGCGCTCAGTCTGTCGTACACGACAGCAACCGTTGCAACGGAATAATCTGTCGCGCGCAACCTTAGGCGGTCAATTTAAATGGAATTCGACCGCTCAATCTCGGGAAAAGACTATTTCTCCCCTGAATGGCCGGAAAAGGAAGGAAAGGTATTATTAGAAATTGAGTTCCAAGTCTTCCAAAAGAAGTTTCAGTCGATCTCCTGCGACTTATAATGGCCAGTTATGGCTCATGCACGAGTCAAATATTAACTTCTAAAGGCCAGCTCAAACATTTTTTAATGGGCAGTTTTCCTCCATCGATCCTCACAGCTCATGGTCGTCAAAGAGCTCCACCCATTTTTTTCGAGAAAATAATTATATATATATATCATCAAGACGGTCGATTTCGAATGCTCACATAAAAAGGCCCATTTTTCCCTACCTGACACGAAATTGCCTGCCGAGGCAATTTCTGTCGCCTGTCGCCGGCGTCTCCCCCACGCATAGAAACATCCAGCTTTTGCCTGCGACATTTTCGTTGCATCGGCGATTTTGGAGCTAACCGATGGATATCACGGTGTCTGATGAAACCAAGCGCTAAAACTCCCGCCATGCCCCCCAAAATCACAAAAAATAGGCATATGGAAGGGAAGAAAATGGTGTTTGAAAGCACCCCCATTTAATGCCGTGCCTTTCCAAACCGCACGGTCCCATTCTTCTTCTGGATTTCCGCATTTCCTTCGTATTTCATCCGGTGTATAGGGTCCTATTTAAAAAAAAAGGTCAATTATTTTTCTGTTGATGGGAAGAAAACACTCAACGCTATGTATTTCAGCAGGTTTCGGTCGGCCTACTACGTGCTTCAGTAAAGTATAACATCAACACAAAAATGGTGAACTCAGTCCCGCTGTTTCATTTGAGTCGTTGAACAGAGACGACACGATTTGCCCTTCGATCGACGATGCATCTCCGAAAGAAAGGAAAATTGACTGGAACCAGATGCGAAGGATACAATTTCGATTTCCGATCCCTATGGGCGGATGCGAACACTCCCCTTCAATGCGGCATTTCATCGCCGGAATTAGCTTGCCAATTTTTCGGAATGACGCATCGGTTCCGAGGCTGCCGATTTCCCTTTTCATCTTTTCGCTCTTTCCCATGTAGATCACGTGTATTTTCCTTAACGGAAATATGAGTGGACACGAACCATGATTTGAGACGGAAGTCCGGAATCGATCAACCGAACCTTGAAGACGCTGTTGAACCGATAGCGGCAATAATTAATTAATCCACGCCCGAGCCACCAACAACGGATCTCGGGAGTCACTATTAGACCATCTTCCCCGCGAAATGGAGGCACAGACATATTTACCAGATCGACGGACGGACCTCCAGTCCCCACCTCCGATCCCATCGCATCTAAACTTCCATTGTCCGACCGCTTTTCAGATCCCTTTAACTCACAATGCCTCGCATGGGAGGAACACAAAGCCGGTGAGTAATGGGGAAAGACTCTACACCTGTCCATTCCCATAGAATCCCCTTTCGACCAGGAGGGCAGTTCCATTCTGCCCTCTTCATAAGTGGGACACTTTTTCATGTTCTCCCCCTAAATTTGCGCTTTTCCCTTTTGCCGACAGGTAAAGCAATTCCTACTATTACAAGATATTGATTTCCCTTTTGTTTCTCATACAAAAGTTAAGGCGTTCGAATGCACCGTAACGGATGCGAGCAAGAACCTAATGAGTTCACTCTCTGAGATATAAGGAAAGAGGAAGCCATTAATCGTAGCTTCATGGATTCGGAAACCGGCTTGAATTGATTGATAAATTGTCTGCGCGATCTAGCAATTCAGTGTTTCATTTTCAGAACAGGATCCCCATCCTGATTTGAAATTGAAAATTTCCACGTGACGATTGTGATCTACGGTTACCGTTTACATAACCGGACGAAGCGGTTATGTAAACGGTTATGTACCGCTACTGGTATTATAGGAGTTGAAGGAATCCCATTCGGTGCAGCATTTCCAGTCGACCCTTGAAAAAGAAGATTTTACCCATTCCACACGTGTGATCCACCCGAATGAATTTGATTTGGAGTGATAAATTCTCTCGTATGGAAATCCCAGCCAAAAGCAAAAACAAATTGATGAAGCCATTCGTGACAAAAGAAGCGTTAGGCTGAAGGAACTTGCTCAATATTGGTTATGGTTCAGCGCAGTGCATTGCTGATGACGAGCTCTCACTAGATGGGCAAGATGGGTTCCTGGGGACGTGTCACTGTGTCCATCAGCCTACCGAGGCGACGCAATCGTGAAAAGGAACAATTTTTCGGCTTCAAGCGTTACTCTGCAGCGCGATGATGCGCGCCCGCATGCGGCTGAAAGACCCGCTGAAAGCCTACAGCGTTGGGAGAATCCTTCCGCGTCCAACTCACAGCCCGGATCTCGCCCCGAGTGACTTATAATTTTTTTTTCCCGAAGCTGAAAGAGGCGATTCCAGGAAAAAAAGATTCGAAACGGCATAAGACCTGAAGGAAGGATTGGTGCTGGCACCAGCCGGTTGACGTTTTTATTGAAAATAGGTTGACTTTTTTGTTGAAAACTTTCTTCAGCTGGTAAATCGATGGACCAAATATTGTGACGTAATTAGGCTAAATCGCTTGGACATTAACATTTTAAAATACGAATTAGAATATTTTTCCCGGAAACTTTTTGATCCAGCCTCGTCCGTCCACCGGACTCGAGAACTGGTCGCTTACCGAATAAACAAATCCATTCCGAATATATTCCGAAGCCGCGGTACGATTTGGACGGCCAGAAATTAAGCGATTTCCGCCTCGTCTGGCGATTCTCGCACAGGGTAAGCGTCACTTTAATCGGCTTTCGGCATCAGACATCAAACTCGTGCTCAATTTTGTGATTCCTTCTACCGCCTTTTCCTCTTTGCCAATCTCGAAAGAGTGCAATACATTCATTTGCATGAACGACATGAACATGCAATCGTTGCTCTTGGAAGATTATTTCGTATATGTTTTGAGACAGGTAATATATTTAGTACCATCCGAAGAATTAAGAAATGAAACTCGAGGCAGAAAACAATGTAGTCCTTGAAATCTGCCTTGGATCTTCCCCAATTACTTTTTGGAGAAGTATTACATCGTGTAGGTATGGGTATGGATTGAAGCTGCTGGAATTTGCGTCTCTCAGACACTCCAAAATGAATGATTATGCAGGTGATTCGGAGTGGCTCATGCAAGGGATTCCTTCCCAGCATTTTCTTCGTCGATCTTGAAGTTCCCTCGCGAAGATGCTTGGACCAGATGCAAGGAATCTCGAGGGATCTCCGAGGAAACTCGAGGTTGAGGAGGGACAAGGTAAGCGTGTAGACGAAACGCGAGATTTCATCGTGGGAGAAACTGGAATGAGAAAGATCTCCTTCCTCAAGGTCGGACAAGCAGAGAAACGAAGCGGCGGGTTCGAATCGCGGTGAAAGCGATGGTGATCGTGGCATTCGCAACACTTGCACTAAAACAGGTAGGAATTCTCAGACACTCATCCGTGCCACATTGTTGCCTTTAATAACTTGAGATGGACTTACAGGTGATGATCCAGATTGAGGAATATGCATCATTCCCGACAAACACGCTGTACGTGGTGAAGTATATGCGCACCATCGAGAGCCCAGCCTTCACCGTCTGTCCGAAATCGTCACTGACATATTCTTTCTCGTCGACCTTGGGAAATGACCCCATGACCTCCTATGGGAACTCAAGTAGGATGAACGGCTCTACCTTCGGGGAGGAGTTCGCAAACGTCTCCGTGTCGGTGTTCAATCTGGTCATGGATGCCTTCATCGGGGGGGAGTGGGTGGGTATTCGTCCTATTCATGAACCGACCGTGTTGAAGAAAACCGGAGTCGGCAATTCGACCGTCGTCGTCGAAACAATTCACTTCGTCGGTGAGCATTTACTGAGCTCTCATCGTAATTAAGAAAAAAAGGACTTCGATTAGTTACCTAATATATATAGACGATCGTGACTGACTGACTGACTGACGCTAATTCTAACCATGTTCTAGAGAAGTGAGAAATATGAAACTTCGTACACAAGTAGCTATTGGGATGGAGAGTTCAGAAAAAATTCAACTTTGGAGGTACATGCCCTGGGGG